AGGGGGGGGGGGGGGGGGGGGGGGGGGGGGGGGGGGGGGGGGGGGGTCTGAGCCGGCAGCTCCCGCCGCGGCCCCCCTAACGCGTCTCGTTCCCTCCCCCGCCGCAGGCCCTTCCTCGTGCTGCCGCCACTGATGGAGTGGATCCGGGTGGCCGTGGCGCACGCCGGCCACCGCCGCAGCTTCTCCATGGACAGCGACGACGTCCGCCAGGCCGCCCGGCTGCTGCTGCCCGGCGTGGACTGCGAGCCGCGCCAGCTCAGGTAGGGCGGCGGGCCGGAGATCGGGGGCGGCGGGGCGCAGGGAGGGCGCCCTTCCCCGCACACCCAGCCCGCATCCGGGTGCAGGGAGAGCGGCCGCAGCCCGTGGGGCTCGGGGCTGGTTGCGCCCGGGGCCGTATGCGCCGGCAGCCTAGCCGTCGCTGATATCGAGGCTTCGCCGGTTTAAAGGACAGACGCCGGCTTAACAATGACCAGGTTACTCGAGTTGCAGGGATGGAGGAGGACGGGAGCAAGCCTCTGTGGAAGTGCTCCTGATTCTCCGATTGCAAGATGTCGCTGTGCCTTGATTCGATTCTTTCTTTTCTATTCTCCCCCTTCCCTCTCTCTCCCTCCCTCTGCCCCTCCCTCTGCTAGAAGTAAATTATTGTCTTCCTGTAGTTTTCTAGCAAAACCTTGCAGAGTAGAATTTCTGGCTGGGTCAGAGCCCGCCTGTGCTTTTTCACTTGCACGGGGATGGAGCGACTCTCCCACCGTCTCTCACGCCTGCATCCAGGTCTCTCCTGCATCAGGGTGGGAATTATTCGCGGGCTGCTCAGAGACCCCATGCAGGGGGCTCACATTTATCCAAAGTGAAAGAAAGGAAACAACTCGCTCAGTTGAGTCAAAACCTGGTTCTAAACGCAGAAAATACAGACACTCAGACATAGGTGTGTGTGCATATGTGGTGTACTTTCTTGACTCCCTGCACTGTTGTCCAGGTGGTCATTGTCACCATTTTCAAATCCCCATTGCCCACCAGATGAGACACTGTCCTTCCTCTGAAGTTCATCTAGCCTGTGATGTGGCCAGGCTGCAGAGATGTCCACCCTTCCAGGATATGATTGGAGGTCTTCAAGGAAAGAGAGGGTTTGCAGTATGAAGTATAGCCCATTGAAGGCCCAGAGATGCCCCGCAGCCCAGGAACATGCAGGGGCCTGATGGAAGTCAGCAAGCATTTATTGAATGCTTAACATAAGCTGAGCACTGTTCTAAGTGCTTTACACAGATTGATTAATATCGAATATTCTCCAACCTGTATGAAGTGGGCATTATTATTATGCCCACTTTGCAGATAAGGAAACTGAGGCACAGATAGGTTAAGTTACATGCCCAAGGTCACAGAACTTGTAAGTGGTGGAGCCAGGATATGAATTCAGGCAGCCCAGACCCCCAGAACCCCACAGTTCTAACCACTGAGTTGTACTTTCCTCAGGTTTCTGTCTAGACAGAATCTGTCTGTGCCACCATCCCTTACATCTTGTCACCTAGAATAACAACAGGTCTCAGGGAGAGAGACAAGGGAGCAGCCATTTATTGAGCACGTACTATGTGCCTGTTATTAATTGCAACAAGAGATTTGCATTCATTACTTGTCTCCTTTGAGCCCTGAAGCAGCCTCCTGAGGTTAGTATAAGCTTCCCATTTCAACAGATTGGGAAGCCGTTGCTGGGACAGCTTATAGGTGGAGATATCAGGGATGCGATCCTTGTAGCTCATATTCCAAAGCCCATCCTCTGCCCACCAGACTCTCCTGCCTCCTGTTTCATGGGCATGGCTACACTACCTGCAGGCTCACTCCCACTGCCCGTGCTCACTGTCCCCAGCTCCGACCTGGGATGACCTTCAGACTCCAGCTCTCTTCCTTGCAGCAAACCTGAAACTGCTGGGTGGCAGGGAAAGTAAGATGCTTCCTTAACTCTTGCCGGCAGAGCACTTCTTGTTTGTCAGGCTCTCAGGAAACCCCACAGCCTAAGGGTTAGGAGCCTGGGCTCCAGAGTCCTGTTGCCTGGGTCCAAATCTCACCACCATGGCTAATTAGCTGTGCAACCTTGGGCAAGCTTGTTGTCCTCTCTGGATCTTTTTCCCCACCCATAACATGAACATAATAATAGCAGCTCCCTCGGAGACTGGTGCAAGCACAAAGCAGGGTCATGAACGTGAAGGACCCACACAGACAATGCCTAAAAGGAAGTGAACATTACCCTAAACCTCTACTATCCCTGCAGTAATAATGCAGGCTCATACATAGGTATTGCTTTATCTTTTCTTTTTAAATAAATAAATAAATTTATTTATTTATTTATTTATTTATTTATTTATTTATTTATGGCTGTGTTGGGTCTTCGTTGATGCGCGGGCTTTCTCTAGTTGCAGTGAGCGGGGGCTACTCTTTGTTGTGGTGCGCAGGCTTCTCATTGCGGTGGCTTCTCCTGTTGCGGAGCACAGGTTCTAGGCACACGGGCTTCAGTAGTTGTGGCACATGGGCTCAGTAGTTGTGGCGCACGGACTTAGTTGCTCTGCGGCATGTGGGATCTTCCCTGACCAGAGATCGAACCTATGTCCCCTACACTGGCAGGGGGATTCTTAACCACTGCGCCACCAGGGAAGTCCCGATATTGCTTTATCTTAACACTTTCTCATGTGAGCCTCAAAACAAACACTCTTGCTATCTGGGAAGGTAGTGCTTCCCCATTTTACAGAGGAAGAAATCAAGGCCAACAAGATTAAGTAACTCTTCCAACATCACACAGATACTAAGTGACAGAGTTAGGAGCCGAATATCAAACCCAGACACCCAGAGATATAACCAGCTTTTCTGGTCCTCACCCTAGACCTAGAGTCAGCCCTCTTGGTGGATGCTGATAACCTTCTTCCAGACGCTTCTATTTCATATACTAATTCCATAGACTGAACAGGAGCTCCAAGGGCTGCTGTCATCACTATGCTCTTTCCCCAACACTGAGCCTTTGCTACATGGTCTAGTGACCAGATATGTGCCGTTTGACAGTCACACCAAGGATTTCCATTTCAATGTCTGTCCAGTTTGAGGCATCAGCCCTGCCATTCGGGATGTGATTGTGATAACCTGGCAGGCCAAGATGCACACAGTTAGAGCAGCGAAACAAAGTTCCACTTGAGTCTCTAGGCTATTTTTAGTGATTTACCTCTCAATTCTTGACTCTTTTGTCTCCAGGATGATGATTTGTGTGTAGAAACTATACGAATTGATTGTTCCAGCCAAATTTTCATCGTTTGGAAATCATATTCCAAGAGAAAACTAAAATATAGTGTTTCATCATAAATTTTCCTAAATCGTAAGTGTAAGACAAGTTCCATTAACTAGACCAAATTCAGTACATGATACAATGAGCCAGTTTTTTTGTTGTTGTTTTTTAAAGAGTACCTATTTTTCAGTCTGGTCAACATACAGATACATCTATACATATATCTCCCAATCACATTTAGTGTGACATGAATTACTGTCTCCAGTTTTCAGGGGATGGGACCAAAGAAGTTTTGTTCATTCAGATAGCCAACAAATAGGTATTGGACGCCTACCTTGCACTGACAGTCTTCATGGTGTGCCATCCCCAACAATTCCACAAGGCAGACTTTATTATCCCATTTTACAGATAGAAGCACTGAGGCTAGTTGCGGTTATTGGACTTGTCCAAGGTCATACAGCTACTGTGAGGCAGATGAGGTGTAGGATGGAGGACTTGGCAAGTGGAGTTGTCTTTCTACCCTCCCAGACATTCATCTTCAAAGTTGCCAGGGAGGCTCCTAGTTCTGACTCATTTGGAGCCGAACATACCTCTCTAAGTAATCAGCCTTAGAAAAGTGTGGGTAGTTTGGTGTTCTAACAGATGCGGGAACTTGGGACGTGGTGTTGGCAGCTGGAGTGTCAGTGACTGTTAGCACATGTAATTACCTACCAGCTGGCTGAGGCTTCCTGGTGGAGAGGAAGCCTGGACACCAGCCGGGACAGAGCAAGCAGAGTCAAGGAATTCCAGGTCTGACGCTAGTGCTACATTGGTTTTCACAGTGACCTTGGTCAGTCCTATGGGAGCTCTGCTTTTGTCTTTATTCTGCTGCAGTAAAGCCTCACCATGGCTATTGGGTTTATACCAAAGGAACACCCTTTAATGCAGCTGCAGATTGTAAGCTGACAGAGGTGACCCATTTAGTCTTCCTTAATTAAAGTATCAGATCATTGAAACCTGGGAATTTGGGCCCTTTCTTTTCTTTTTCATGTCCTTTGGGAAGTGGGGGAAGAGGGAAGTAAGAATAAAGGAAAGAACAAATAATACATCCTGGAGCAGTTTGTACATTTTCTTATTAATAACTGGTTTTGAAACATTTCAGAAATACAAAGAGTGAATACTGTTGTTTTCCCCATATTTTTAAGGGGCAGTTTTTCTGCTCCAGAGTGAGGCTGTGTTAAAATAACGATAGTAAGGGGTGTTCTCAAATCCTATCTTCGCTGATAAATGGCACCTACCAACAAGAATTGGGGGTTGTTAGAACGATGAGCTCACTCCAGGAAATGGTTAATCTTTTTGCAAGTGTTTCTTAAATTCAAACCAGATTTTGAGCAGTCCAGAATGGATGTTTGGGGTGATAGGATGCTAAGAGTATCAGGACGGAGACCTGGGTCATTATGTTCTTTCCTTTGCTCTTCTGGTACATTTTTTTTGAGCACCTAAGGCCAAACCCCACAATAGATGCTCTCATCTGGGTCTGTTGCTTTCTAACGGGTCACCTCTGGCAGGTCATCTTGCCCATCTGACAGGGCCAGGTTCATCCCCTGTAAAGACGGGGTGACAACTGCTTCGTGGGGTGGGGAACCTCGGTAAGAGTTCACATATGAATTTTAAAAACTGCACCACTGCTCGGTCTGCCCCTTTTAACCCTTCCCAGGTCTCCTTGGCCCCCCTTGAGGTTAATAGGTTTTGTTATTTGTCTGGTTTGGGTCAAGGTAGGTTCTAAGGCGAAGTTTACGCCACAGCAGCACCTGAAGTGAAATTCTGGTGCCTCTGACACAGCCCTATAAGGACAGCTGGAAGTTTGGGTTCATTTGCCAAACATGGGCCAAAAATGTACTGGGTGCTGATGGCCCACCAGAACCTGTGTGGGACCCAGGGACACCAAGTCAGGGAAAACCCAGCTGCTGCCCATCACGTAGGAGGCAGGCCTGGTGCTGCTGGAGCCACCGGTCCTCG